GATAAATTGCAAGACTTCGCAGTCACAGTTGCCTGAATGCTGCTCAGGAAGGAAGTGGGGCAGACTGCCTGCAAAGGCAAACTGAAGAGACAACAGCACAGAGAAAGCCAGAGTGCAGGGAAATAAGCAGTAACAAGCAAGGTCAGGGAAATAAGCAGTAACAAGCAAGGTCCACTCAACCACCCTAAAAAAGCTCTTTGAGAGGTGCTTGTTCAGTGCTGTTCATTCAGTTCCGATGCCTACAATTCGGATGCATTGTGACCTGACCCCATGGAAGAGAATAGAACTGCCCCATAGGATTTTCTTGGTTGTAATCATTACAGAAGCAGACCATAAGTTCTTTCGCTCTTTATATTAGCTATGACCTCTTAACTGTTACATAACCAGGGCTCCTTTATTTGAGAAGACCAGTATGGAAATAGTAGTCAGTACATTGCCATTATTTGTTTCTTGAGGCTATCTCTTTAAGGATATATCAACTGTAGGGCTTGGGATGCTGTAATGATACCACATATGCCTCTTGTTCAGAGGGAAAACTCTACAACTCACTGCTTTAGATGCAATTCCAACTTATAATGGTCCTCCATCAGGCAAGGCTACAAGTCTTAACAGGAAGAGATTGCCTATGTTCCTCCCACAGAGCCAGGAGTGGACTCCAACCACTGGAGACACACACGCTTTTATGTTGTAAGTACACCACCACACAAACTATGCCACCAGAACTCCTTGCATTAAGACAAGAGGCTTAGAGAAAGCCTCAAAATTCTTGGAGTTCATGCCAAAAAGGGCACCAAATAGAATATGCACCAGAAAGCAGCAGAGTTTCTAGCTAGTCTCATGAGCCTCATTCCTAAATGATGTCTGCTTCCAAAGACATAAAAAAACACCACGGCAGGTTTCATAGGCTGCAAATCCGTATAGGACGAGATATGTATGCTCTTTTTCTCCTGTGGAGTAGCTAGTGGGTTTGAACTACTGATTTTTTTGTTAAATGTGTTTATCATTTTGGCCATTCATAATATACACAATATTCTTCCCAACACTACAATTCAAAGGCATCCATTCTTCTTTAGTCTTCCTTATTCGTGGTTCAACTGAAGCAATTGAAAACATCATGACTTGTGTAAGGCATACCTTAAATTTATTTCTCTTTAGCACTTTAAAGAAATCCTTAACAGCAGATTTTGCCCAATGAAATACGTCCTTTGATGTCTTGACTGCTATATGTATTAGTATTGCTTGGGGATTCAATCAATAAAATAAAATCTTTGATAATTTTGATCTTTTCTCAGTATATCATTATATTGCTTATTGATCCCATTACAAGGCTGCTGGTTTTCTTGGTGTTGAAGTGTAATCCATACCCGGGATTATAGTCTTTGATCTTTAGTAAATATTTCGTCTTCTTTACTCTCTATAAGGATGTTGTGTCATCCGCATAACGTAGGTTGTTGGCAAGTCTTTCCCCATTCTGGATTCCATTTGTCTTCATATAGCCCAGACACTATGTTATGGGATAAATATGTCCCATAGAGTTTTAATGGCTGTACATTTTTATAGAAATTGACCACCACATCTTTCTTCTGCACAATAGCTGGTATTTGAGCTGCCAACCTTCTAGTGAGAAGCTGAGCATTATAATTACTATGCTACCAGAAATTACAGCCTTAGACACTCAATGGGGTAGTTCTATTCTGCTCTGTAGGGTTGTGGTTTGCTACAGTTGACTCAACAGAAACAGGTTCAGGGTTTGTACTCTCATTTGGAGCCTAAATGAGATGAGTTGTTTTCATTTGATTGTTAACCTAAAGGCTGACAGTAGGAACAATCTCTGTGTGATAAAGTCCTGGCAATATGCTTCTCTTACTACTATAGTAAAAAGAAAGCCTATGGGGAAATTGTACTCTATACCATAGGTTGCCAAGGGAACTAACAGGTTCTGGAGAGGTCGAAGCCAAGGTGCTCCTCGGAGGGAAGGATTTTGAAGTTCTGTATCACTTACTTTGGGCATGTTTCCAGGAGGGACCAGTGCTTGGAAAAGGACATCATGCTTGGAAAGGAGGAAAGACAGCACAGGAGTTCAAGGCCCTGGATAAGATGGCTTGATAGACTTACTAGGGCAACGGGGATAGATTTGTCAGAGACATTGAGATGGCTCAGGATAGACAGGATTCAGAGATACTGTGCACGGGGTCGCTATGACTCGTGGTAGACTCGTTGGCATGTAACAACATAATATGTGAGGTCACCATGTGTTGGAGGCTGACTAAACAGCAGCTCACAACAGCGCCTAGCACTTGCTGATCTTGTAGTGTCTTTACCTTCATAAAAACTAGCATTACTTTATAAAAAAAATAATGGTAGGATGCTTTGTTTTTCTGCTTGGTAAGATTATCTTGCTAGAGGATCTTGAAGATAGGCCAAGAAAAACATCACCTCTAAGGAGAAAATGAGCAAGCTTTTGCGTAGAACTTAAAGGATTTGTGAATTGGTATAAGCAAACCATCGCTGCTTCTCTAAGTATAAGCAATGGAGTTTCAGCTCAGGTAGCATTTAGAGTGTTCCATGAATATTGTTGCCCCAAATTTTCTATTCTACTTGCCAGTTGTAGAGTCTAAATGTCAGCCAGGGTTACTTGTTACTGTGCTGAAGACATATTTAGATGATCCTGAATGTGTTTTAATCTTAAATTGTCTAGAGCTAGGATCATAAAAATCCTCATTATGCATGAAATACAACACTTTCTGGTAAACCAAAGTCTTTATCCTTGAACCTCTTACCTACAGAGATTCCAGTTCTACGTAGTAAGCTTTGAAAATCCCTGGGGAAAGTATGAAGTCCACATTGGTCTCTCAGATTGCCTTACTGTGGTAGCATGCATGTTCCCATAATAGTGGAAACCGTGTAACCTGTATTTTAAATAGCAACAGATTCATTCGTGGTGTACAGGCTTCAATGGAGCTTCTATGACTAAGACAAGGAAGAAAAACCTAGTGATATACTTCTATAGATTAGCTCAAGGAAACGCTTTCAACTGACACTAAGCCTCTGTGATGGGGAGTTTTTTTCAAAAATTAATAATGGTAATACTTTAAAAGCATAATGTTGCATGCTGTCAAAATTATTCTAACAACTGATTTCAGTGAACTATATACTCAAAGAACAGTCAAAAGATGAGTAGTTGATTCCATAAGTACTTACTACAATAATAAATTACAAAACAAATTTCTAACTTTCACAAGTGGCAGGTGGTGACAGTAGGGAGTTCTCAAGGCTTAGTAGTAAGGAGCTGCAATACCCACCTAAAAGCCTGATCCACAAGCAACCTTGCTGGAGAAAGGCGGACTATCTCTTCCCATGTCATTTACTGTCCCTAAAAACCTACCAGAGGGTCAGCTATGAGTCAGTTCTGACTAGATGGTGCATAACAACTGGTAGAGCAGCATAGCACACTGAGCACGAGCAGTCACTCAAGTGTGTACTTGAGACTGGTAGAAACACACAACAAAGGCAATTGTTTTCAATAGACTGCACGCCTGAATAAAACTGACTTGGTAAATGTTTGCTGTGCCTAAGAAATTTTTTACAAGAAAAAAAACCACAAGGAATTATTAAAATGATATTTTGTTATATATTCTACTACAATAAGAATATTTTTTTAAATGTTGACTATCAAAAACTAGGCCACACATCTCTCTTTTCAACTCGACCAGTGGCTGCACAGAAGGATGGGCAAGTTCAGTTTTACAGCCTCAGAAACCTGATATAGGGGCTCAATGAGTCAGACTCAACTCAACAGCAATGAGTGAGATAAAAAACAAACAGACAAAAACACTCTGTGGATTACAACATAGTCTGACATAGTACTGGGGGAGGAATGAACCCTGTAAGTTGGAAGGCACCCAAAATACATAGTGGCCACCACAACGGACCACGATCATAAAGGACTTGTTCATGGGGTCATCATGAGGCAGAGCTGGCAAAATGCAACTCACAACAAAACCTACGATGAGAAAGGTGTGATGGAGACCAAGGGCATTGTCACAAATATCTTAAAGTTGGCAACAGTACTCTACAGAAAAAGCCTGGGAGGAATTTTGGCTTCCTTGCCTGCTGCAGGGAAGGCAATTGTGAGCACTGCAGGAGGTCCTACCGAGGCAGCGTACTCCTGGCAGCTCCCACTGGCAGAAAGTCTTGCACGTGGCATGCTTGCAAGGACCAGTGGTTTCTCTTTTCCTCCTTCCAAACTGGCAATTATTACATGTTGTTGATGTTGTTGTTGTGTGCTGTCAAGCCACTTGCAACTCCTAGTGACACTATGTACAACAGCTCTAAACCTTGCTCTGTCTTGCACCAATCTCATTGCCTCTGACACACCCATCACCATAGTCATCAAGTCAATCTATCTCATCAAGGGTCTTCCTCTCTTGAGCTGTCCCTCCACCCTCCCAAGCATGATGTCCCTCTCCAAGGACTGGTCCCTTCTTGCAACATGTCCAAAGTATGTCAGACAAAGCTTCAGAATCCTTGCCTCCAAGCTGCAGCCTCATTTTGCCCTCGCCAGGACGAATCTGTTTGTTCTCCTGGAAGTCCAAAGTATATTCAATACTCTATCATCACAGCTCAAAGGCATCAATTCTTCTTCTATCATCTCTATGAATTGACTATCTTTCTGATGCATAGCAAGTAATTGCAAAGACTATAGCCTGGATCAGGTGCACCTTAGTATCCAGAATGACATCATCGCTCTTCAGTATTCTGGAGAGGTCCCTGACAGCTGACTTTCCCACTGCTATTTGTCTTTTGATTTACTGGCTATTGAGAGTAAGAATATCGATTATGAAGCCAAGCAAACTAAAGCTGTTAAGAATCTCAATCTCGCTCTCTGAGGAAGACGTGGTCGCTCCTGCGGGCGTGCGGTGTTCTCTGGCTCCTGCTCCTGACTCACCCCTGTTCGCTCTCTCCGGGGAACAAGTCGGTCAGGAAGCCGCGCCGCAGCCATGGCTTTTAAGGACACCGGAAAGACGCCTGTGGAACCGGAGGTGGCCATTCACCGGATTAGGATTACCCTAACCAGCCGCAACGTAAAATCCCTGGAGAAGGTGTGTGCCGACTTGATCAGAGGCGCAAAGGAGAAGAACTTGAAGGTGAAGGGACCGGTCAGGATGCCTACCAAGACTCCGAGAATCACTAAAGGAATACTCCTTGTGGGCAGGTTCCAAGACCTGGGATTGTTTCCAGATAAGGATCCACAAGCGTTTCATTGACTTGCATGGTCCTTCTGAGATTGTCAAGCAGATCACCTCCATCAGCATTGAGCCTGGAGTAGAGGTTGAAGTGACCATTGCGGATGCCTAAATCAACTATTGTAATAAATTGACTACCCGTTGGTAAAAAAAAAAAAAAAAAAAAAGAATCTCAATCTCCCCACCATATATCATGATGCTGCCAATCGGCCGAGTAATGAGAATCTTTGTTTTCTTGGTGTTGAGCTTCAATCCATATTGAATGCTGTAGTCCTTGAACTTCTGTGCAAATACCTGAGGCCCACCTTTGTTTCGGCAAGCAAGGCTGTGCATAATGTGGTTTGTTGATGAGTCTTCTTCCAATCCTGCTGCCACATTCCTTCTCATATAGCCCAGCCTCACTTATGATCTGTTCTGTGCATAAATTGAAAAGGTGAGCCAAAACCAGCCCTTCTATATGGTTCCCTATGTTGTTTTCACAGCAGGCTAGAACCGTTAGTCCAAAGACCTCTGATGCCAAACTCATGTGTTTACACATTTAATTTGCCTTAAAAATAGCCCAAAAGAACATATTTGTAGCCATTGAGAGATTGCTTACTTTGCACATTTCAGGCTATACCCAACATCTGCTGGTCAAAGGTAAGACAAACTCTAGCAACCAACTCACTACCACTGAATGTGAACTGGCTCTTGGCCTTCCACCGGGTTTCTGAGACTGTGAATTGCATGACTGAGAACTGCCCATCATTCTCCCAAGGCCCTTCTGGTGGATTCTAATTGCCAGAGAGGCGAGATCTTCGAGTTAGCTATACAACTTGTTGCAGACTGGGTCACTGGGTCACTAGAGACCGCTTCTGTAGTTGTAAGACTCCAAGCCGTTGCTGCTCCACAGCGTTCTCGCACCAGGGATGTGCCACCTTGCTGCTGAATGACCTCAGCAGTAAATGATCTCTCCTCTCCAACTCTTCTCTTTGCATTTCCCTTGTTCTCCTCTCCTTCTGGGTGATAATGACCTCTTGTCCTTGCCTTTGGAAAGGCTCTTGCTGGGAAGGGCTTCCTCTTTCATGTTGTTGCTGTTGGGTGCTGAGTCTAATAGGGTTGATAGCGATGCCATGAACAACAGATCTTAATCTCATCCTGTGCCATCCTCATCGTCTTTGGTACATTTGAGCCCACTGCCATAGTCACTGTGCCACTCTGTCTCGTTGAAGGTCTTTCTCTTTCACTGACCTTCCTCCTTTCCAAGCATGATGTCCCTCTCCAAGCAATAGCCCCTCCTAACAAAATGCCCAGAGTATGTAAGATGAAACTTTGATATCTTTGCCTCCAAGGGGGATTCTGGCTGCACTTTCTCTAAGACAATATTTGTTGACCAACAAATAGTTTGTTTTGTCCCATTGCCACCTATTCCCTTGGCCATCCTTGAAGTTCTTGAACTCGCCTGAGCAGTGAGTGCTCTGGGGCCTTGTGCCCAAGCCAGCCCCTGACGGAAGAAGTACACAGCCTCTCCCAGATCCCACGGACTCAGCAGAAGCACAAGGTGTAATTTTCTCTTTCCTCTTGCTCTTTCTTTGCATTTCTTTCAGGTAGAATTCCCAGAAGGGTTAGCCTAATGGAAAAATGTAAGTCCCTAAGAGAAACTCAGTTCTTTTCCTTGTCACTTCTTGACATAAGAACTTTTAGTCAGATTCTGTACTACTTTTTTATGTCTTATAGCCATGGCTTTCTTTCTAGGCGTAGCTGAAAAATGAACCCTAAAGTTACCACTGGAATAATAATACATCAAATGACACGCTTATGATTTGAATGAGTCTAAGAGCTTCACTGAGAATTTAATACGCTACTTCAAGAACTTGGAAGGAGGAATGGCATCCACTTCCATAATATCTTGCCTGTGGAAACCCTGTGAACCTGAAGGGAGGATGAGAGACACCCAAGCATTGAGGACTTTCCTTCATAGGGTGACTATGAGTCGCCTGTGACTTGACGGCACTTAACAACAACAACTTCAAGAACAGCAACTAGGTAAGGGATATTGCACTGCATTTTACATACTGCTCAACCTTAAAATGAAAATAAAACTTGACGGGCACATTTTTTATGGTTTCAAGACCATGTAGAGTTTAGATTCACCCAGGAATTTGGCATGAATTGTTAAAATAATTTTTAACAAAACAAAGTGCATCTTTAATTTATGTCTAACCTCTGGTAGTAAATGCATATCAACTTCTGAATCAAGGCATATTCAGTAAGAAATTATGTTAAACAAAATTGGTAAAGCTTGTAATTTTTCATAAGATGATAAATGAGATAGAATTAAAAATATTTCCTACTTAAATTAACAGTGTCCAGTGGGAAAAAGACTTAGTTTATGCTTAGTATAAGGATACATAAAGTTTTGCTATAATTCAGCCCTGAGGAATTTTTAAATTACTTCCATAATGAAAAATGTAAAATTACTATGGGCACAAGTGCTAGGATCTTTCAACAGCCATTCCTCAGTTTTAAACTGCTCGCCATGTTAGTATCTATTTTCGTTAATATCTTTCTGAAATGCTTAGCCCTTCAGAATGTAGCAGGAGTGAATGCAAAATAGCATCTAGCAATAACTTACACTGAACTAGGGAGAAATGGTAATATCCACAGATTGTACAAACCCAAATGGGTTCAAATGCCAGCCAATCATTTCTTAAAAAGCAGCAGTGACAAAATCATAAATTCTGTTGCTGTTCTGTCTTCTAGAATTATGTTCAACAAATCAAAAATAATGACCTTTGCTAGTTTGTATGGTCTGGCAAAGAACGAAGCCAAAAAAATTAAAATATTTTCTCAATCACAAAATGTTCCTATGAACGAATTGGCCAACACCACCAAGCGTATTTCTCTAAATTATATCTTGCATGCAATCCCATTTTTTCCCAATGATCCATTAGTTAACCAGAAATACTGTACATATTTTAATGGGTTAGGAGACCTTAAGGGAATTGATACATTTCAAATGAGAGCCTCAGGGACCCTGGTTTATTGCAAAGAAGATAATTCTTTCCTGAGAAGGAACAAGCTTCATTTGAAATTAAGATTCGGAGATCATAAATGGAATCAATTGAACCAAACAGTCCCTGGTAATGTGTGGCACATGGGAGGCAAATGAGGGTTTGCAGCTTGTTGGAGGCATCAGAAGATGGTCTAGCTGAGTGGCAGAAAGAGTGAGTGGCTTTTTGTCTTACCTGTATCCCTTCTGAGCTTGTAAACAGTGTGTTTATGAAGGTGACTGAAAGAATTTTCCTGGTCAATGTACAGCACTAGAAGTTTTATTCTTGAGAGAGGCACAGAGAGTGTGTAAGAAAATAAATGTTGGACATGTTCCAGAGTATTTTGACTCAGTTAACCACAAAATAAGTTATTAGCATATGGTAAGTGCAGCAGTTTTTTAAGTAATCGAGTAATCCACTGTGGACTGCAGCAAGGAAGTGGAACAAAGAGTGTGAAATGAACAGATGGATTTTATTTTAAACAAATTAGACCCATGACGAGGGATGTAACAAGTCATTTCTGAGTTTTCCGTGCTCTGGGTTCACTTCTCTTCATGACCTCCGCAGCCTGCTGGCTCGTTTCACCCCGACTGGAGCTCAGGCCTTTCTGGGGCAGCAGCTTTTATGATTTGCAAGTGTAAACTCCTGTCTCCTGCTTCCACTAAACTGATCAAAGGAGGCACCAGGGAACTGCCACAACAGAGTCCTTGAGTACTTAAGCTCCAAACTATTTGTTCTCTTAATCATCTGTACTCATTCCAGGACTGCTGACAGATACAAGAATGAATGTTCAGGACATGTCCCACCTTCGTGACTCTGGATTCAGAGATGGTTGAACAATTTCTTACTGATGTGCTCATCAATGTGGCAGACCCCAACTCCAAGTGGCTCCCTGCCCCAACTTCACAGGCTCAGTGGCTGAACACTGCTGGTCACCGTTTCCCTGGAGTGAGAAATAATCCTTCCGGAAATCTTCAACTCCCTAGCAGTATCTATGGTGGCTTGTTGTGGTGATGATAAGGAATTGTACTGCCAACCCAGCACAAGGTTGGAATCTATCAGTTGCTCTGCAGGAGAAAGATGGGAGGTGTCCTCCCTAGCTGTGTCTAGACTCCAAAATGCCTCGCTGCCCTCCCATTGCCTCAGTTAATCTCTCATTTCCTTACCTACACAGGATAGACTGTGACTGAACAATGGGCATGAACATATCAGAGATCTGAGAATGAGGATGATGGCCCAGCACAGGGCAAGGCTCACACCAGTTGTTCATAGGCTTGAGTCATTGTCTACTAATGGTACCTCACAACAAAGACATCAACTAGGGCTGGAGAAGTAAAAGATGTGCACATTCACATAAACAGGTGAGTGACGATGGGCTTTGACTTGAATTAGAAATCTGACTGAATGTTTTCCTCTGCTTCCACAGAACCACCATAGTGAATTGTTTGAAATGAGAAAACTGACCAGGTTCAGATGGTTCCTTGTAACCATCAGAAAATGTCCCAATCCCCATTTTTATTCCATCTTCTCTCCATCCACATATCCACTGTTGAAATACGCTTTCTCTCCACCTTCCATCACAGATTTAAGAAATATCTGCCTTAGAAGAAGTACAATCAGAATGCTTCATAAAAGTGAGAATACTCATTTACTTTAGACATGATTGGGAGGAACCAATCCCTGGACAAGGGAATACTGGAGAAAGGATCATTAAAGAGAAAGATCCTTAACAAGATGGGGTGACAGTGTGGCTGCATCGGTGAGACAAAGGCAGCAAAGATTACGAGGCATGCGTGGGATTTGTCAATGTTTCATTCTGTGGGACTGAACTAAGTCTGCAGCTCCTAACAACAATACAATTACCACATTTTAAAAAAATGGTTTTTAATATGTATCTCTGTCTCCAGAAGGACTAATTTGTTATCCCCAAGAAAAGGAATGTTTGCTAAATGATTGCTGAATATAGGGTACAAAATGATTTTTTTAAAAAAATCTGACTGGAAGTTTACAAATCTCATTGGTAGAGGTTCTTTTTTACTCAGGCAATCATTCATAGGCAATAATTACCATTAATTGATAG